CATCCTGCATTAGAACTGTACATTCAAGTAATACCTTTCACCACTCCACTACAAAACCGTTCAAAAGCACAGCTGATAGGACGGCGACTTAAGTATGTCGCGTTCACCTCCCTCAGGTTCACGGTCGCAGAGTCACTTAAAAACGCGACAAGACAATGAACCAATCACAATTCACTTGAGCACTCCGCTGGATTGCTCCGGGGCCCACATAATTTGGGCATGGAATAGTGCACAGTCTATGGCGTTTATTTTTAGATTGCCTACTGTGGGCTATGTTTCGGCGCTATTCGGCAGGAGCACATTTGAGATGTGCCGTCTTATTAATATTAATATACCGTCAAACTCTCTGCAAGTGTCGTGATCGCTTGGGTTATCCCAAAGAGCGATTTATAGGTCAGCTTTCCACTGTTGACTATCCTGTTATGTTTAGATACAGTGCATGAACTTAGGCATGGCAAAGTAAATGTTTTACAGTGCTATCTAATAGAAATGACAGTTACTGCGCCACCGAGGGCCTTGTTTTGATCTAATATTTAGCTAGTATTTGTTTCTGGCGTCTTTTATTTTATTATTGTGGGTGCTTTACGTCATAGGACATTAAATCATTTTGGGCGGCACTGCACGACCGTGCTCTATGGACGAACCGCGCCTGATAGTGAAGCATGTAGATCAATAATTAATTAGAATTTAGTTACACCCCTCTCCTCTTCACCAAACACGCTTGATTTCTCCCCAGTCATCTCGTCAGAGGTGGAAGAGGAACTCCGGACCTATCACATCATTGTGGACGTAGACATGACCACCACAAGCTTGGACAGTCTGTTCAGCGAAGAGGACGCGATTCACGAAAAGAAAAGATTGCACAGCGTCAACAGTTCCGGGGATGATTTAGTTTTCAACTCTAAACATCAATGAACAATTTCCCTTCTCCCCTTCCAAGCTGCACCAATCCCCACCCCACCAAACAATTAAAAGTAAACATTTTTAAAAGTCGAAAGAGGGGGAAAAACCCTTCAGAAAAATATCTTTTTCTGCGAGATCCATGTACCACAGCCACTTGTACTACAACTTCTAGAAGAAATAAACGAGAAGTTATATCCAAACATCCTGAAATTTCAAATGGACTTTATTGTCAGTATTTCTTGCATTGTAGCATGTGGGTTTCCGGATTTTTACAAATTGGGGTTCATCGAAGGATAATTCTTTGCGTTGGTCAGCTCCTTGAACAAACTTAGTTATGTTTGGGAAGACGCTTTACGAACGTTCAAATCTTGTGTGCATGGAAATATTACTATTATTAGGCCCTTCTGATGTCATGCCAAAATGTATCTGATTGCTTGTAAACCTGCGTACCGTAATTCTATACCTACATTCGACGCTTTGGAAAGGAAAAAAAGATCTGTGTGTGTGTGTGTGTGTGTGTTTGTGTGTGTGTGTGTGTGTGTGTGTGTGTGTGTGTA